TCAAATTCTATCATTATTTTTTGATATAAATATTCATCTCTTATATATCCTGATATTAGTTTTTCTAATATTAGTTTTCTTGTTTTTATTGGTAACTCTCTTGTTATAATTAATATTAATATTTTTATTTTCTTAGGTAGAGGTTCTAACATATAACTTAAACCATCCTTTTCTCTTAGTATATAGTACCAATTATTTTTAATTATTTCAATTTCCATGATCTAACAAGGCTCTGATATCATTTTAAACAGAGAGCGCAGAGTCAGCGGAAGGAATAAATTTTGCACTCATAAATATTTTAGGGGCTAATTTGGCGTTTTTATATACTTATGATGGCTTCTAGTTGTAAATTATGGATGGAGGGTATTTTTGGAAACTAATATTTCTGGAAAGTTTCTGTAATTGATTTTTCTGTACATATATCTTTTCTCAACTTACAAAATTGTAGAAACGTCACAGAAACTTTGGAATTATCCTTATTTTCATATTGGTCTACTTTTTTATTTTATTTTTTCTTAGAACAAAAATTCTTCTCTACATAGTGATTTCATTCTTAATCATAAAAGAATTATTCCCCATCGAAAAATTAACCAAACTAAAATTGATCAAAAATATATACTAGAAAGAATATTTATTCATACCCTTGATTTATATTTCGATAAAGAATACAATTATAATTTTTAAAAGAGAGCATACTTGAAATTGTCATTAACATCGGGAGAGGGTTATGCAATTTAATATTATTTTAAAAAGAATCTTCTTTATTATAATTATAAAGAATATTTTGAGGTATAAGTGAAGATGGAGAGCAGATATTTTTTTTTACGAGTCCAATAACATTATTTATATTTTATTACTCATTTTTCATTAACTTCTCCCTTTGTTCTTAATAGAATTAAAGTTAGTAATCAATCAAATGTCACACTCACCTCAGCTAATATTTGGACTAATGAAAATTGATAAGATAATCATCGACCAATAAGGATCGTCATTTTGTACAGTTGAAATTATAACTTCTTTCACACCAACAATTAATGACGACGTTATTGATTTTTGTTAAATATTGATTATAATTTAAATAATTATCACATGCACTATAGTAAAACTGAAGTATATTTTTCCATTCCAAGTACATTATTCTAACAGTGATCATACGATGTCGTTTTTAATGTGCCTAATTAGGCATTTCAGCTTGGGATTTGAACTCCTCAAAGTGATCATATTGACACTAAAATATATCAATAATGCTATTTTTACATCATCTTTTACATTATTTTTGATATTGTGCCACGTGACGACAACAAGCAATATTGGACAATTTTTTAAAAAACCACACTTTCTCGCTTATAACTTTTTGAACTCGAATGGGATGTAGACCATGATGTCAACCAAACAATATACACCAAGCACTATTCAAGATGTCCACATGCGTAATCTTCCATATACCTCTATATTTCAGCTTCTCCGAAGAATTTAATTGGAAAAAAAAATGAATTAGCAGCTGAAATCCCTTAATCGAAGGGCGTTCTTGATTATCTTCTTGGCAAATTATTGCACAATTTGGTAGAAATTTAATTTAGCACCTCTTTAAGCCTCAATTTTTTTTGTTCAAAATGCATTTTGGAATCGTATTTTGACGAAGAATGTGTGGTTAAAAAATAAAGAAAAGTTTTGAGTAATGTACTTTGCAAATAATGGGACCAAACAAGTGCTTAATAAACAAGTGACCTGATTAGGTGTTGATGACATATCACTATTCTGATGATGATGGCAGAGTGGAAGATCACGTGAAATTAGAGACACAATTGTCATGATGGGGGCAACATTTTCATCGTCATCGGGTTGTTGTGACGGTGGTAGTGGAGGATGGTGGTGGTCGTGGGTGAAGCTGGTGGTGCTGCTGGTGTTCATAAGGGTCTTGCCTGCTATTTTCTTCAAACAGGTCGAACCCTTTTTCTTGGATTAGGTAATTCGTTGTCTAGAATAGTGAAAGATTTTTGTTTTTCACGAATTTTTGTTTATTTAGTTACATGCATTAATGTGTAATTTTAACTATTATTGGTTTATGCATGCGTAGATACTGAAGTGTTTGTTTTTTATTATATGTATTATAAGAGTACTTTTGGTAAATCAAAGGAGGCAATGATTTGTATCAATTTTGATTTTTCTTTCCTTTTTAGATTTGGGTGCTTAGAAAATTGCTCTTTGATTTTAAATATTGCCTACTCTTTTATACACAGGCTTTGTCCGCAAAATATATAATGCAATTACTTCTTTCCACTTCTCTAATCTTTTTTCATGTTTATTTTACATAGACATGGGTGTTAGTTTATGCATACAATAAATGACAGGATTTTACGATTTTGATGAAAGGAACTTAATTAATGTGAGATGAGCAGAATAATTACGAAATACTAGAAAGAGTTGGTAGCTGTTACCTATTCAACTTAGCTGGTATAATTTGCTGATGTTCTCGATATGACTATATTCTTGCTTGTCATCTTCTGTTAAGTGGATGGCATTGCCGACGTAGATGTAATGTCTATGATTATGAGTCTGGTGAGAAGCCTAGATATGATTTCATGGTTGTTGATGACACTATTAAAATGATAATTCATCTAATTTCGATCAAGTAGTTCAACATGGTATTTAAGTAGACAAATGTCCTGAATTCAAGTCTCAACATCATTCATTTAAATGAAATTGTGATATGTAATGCCTTTATTGGAAAAAGACAAATTTAGCCTACATATGAGGGGACGTGTGGAAGACACTATTCAAATGATAATGTGACAATGTTTAATAGGTTAAGGGGATGTTTGATAACCATTTTTTGCTAATATGAGAATGCTTTTTTTGACTGTTACCTGTGTCAGTGGGGCCCAAGGTGCTACAACTTCTGAAATGGCAACAATTTGTTTACATAATTGCCCTAACTTCCTTAAGAAAGAAAATTATTTGAAAGGGCAACTTGGTAATTTAATTGAATTTTATTTTCAAAAATTGCGGCTCCTTCTTCTTCTTTACTGTATAACGGTGGGAAATTGTCTAAAAATGAGGCAAAAATGGTTATCAAACAGGCACTAAGTTTTTAGATCAAGTGGTTAACAATGGTTTCCAACAATTCTTGTGGCACTTCTATGGTCATAATGTTTTCTAAGTACCATTATCATTTTCCAGGTAATTATTCCCATCATAAATTGGGAGACGGAAACATTCAGCAAGCCAATGCGAGCACTTCCTAGTCTTTGGTTCAGTAAAAATATTTCCAACCTTGCTTTTACCTTCTATACTTTCCATGTGGGTAGCAGGGATGACTTTTCGATATGGCTATGGATTTTTGCTTATAATTGTAGCAGTGGCATTTGGCGTCTCAATTCCATATTTCGTCGGTTCTATCTTCCATCCTAAAATCCAAGTACGTCATTTATGTTTTATATATTGTTTCCTACGATTAGTTTGTCTTTGCATGGGTTTTATATTGTACTAAACTTGACACTGTATTGTTCTCTCTGATAGGCATGGTTAGATAGACATCCGAAGAAAGCTACCACAATAAGACTAGCTGGTGAGGGAACTTGGTTCAATCAGTTCCAAGCGATTGCATCGATTAGGATTTCTCCTTTCCCCTGTCTTGTATATAATTACGGTGCTGTGGCTTCGGATGTTACATACGGTCCTTACTTGTTGGGAACGCTGGTAGGAATGATGCAAGAAATGTTTGTTGCAATTTACACGTAAGAACTCTCTCTCTCTCTCTCTCTCTCGATCATTTGCTTCCCCTCCATACACGAAAAACAGTTTGAGATTGTTTTATGGACGTATTTTGTCTATTAAAAATGAAACTGTGGAAGTTGTCATTTGTTTTCAATCACAAACCAGACACGTGAGCACACACGGACAATGCTTGTCCATTTTTGGTGTATAAAACTTCTATTGAAAGCTGAGCTCTACACTTTCTTCTTGATTTCATCATAATCCATAATGATGATTGTCATTTGAGTTATATTTGTCTATGATGATTACGTATTTGATCAGGATCTTATTCTGGTGCAACTTTTTTGTATTAATGAATTGTAAGCCTTTTCATATAACTATGTTGTATATTAATTTTCTACAATAAGTTGCAGGAAAAAAAACTATACATATTTTAGTTGAATCACTGGTTTTTATGAAACACTAAAATTTGACTGTAAAAAGGAAGTGAGTTGACTTATAAAATTCATGCTTTGTTTCTTTTTTAGTATATGTGATATTTGTACGAGTTCTCCCACTAGTTGTGATATTCTTTAAGATCATTAACAAGTTGTCTCTGTTGGCTCGTATTCTAGATCTTTGATCGTGCGTGCATAATCTGGATTTGCCAGTTTGAATTTTTCCTTGACATTTTTTGGAATTATGATGTGGTGCAGAAGGAATTAGATTTTTTGGCAAAGTGGGACCGGCGTAAATAGAAATAAGTAATTTTCTTATTTTTGGAGAAATTTTGGGGTTGTTAGTTTTTGGTGAAATTTTAGTCAAATTTGAGTGGAAACGGGCCAATTCGATCAAATTTCTTCATTTAGGCCCTCTTTTATGCCTTTTTTCTTTTTTTGGTAATTTATATTTTGGGCATATCTCAATCAAATAAATTCATATTTGAATTCCGTTTGTTGGGGGACGATCCTGATGATTAAGAGATTCAAAATCTGTCACTATCTCAATTTTTTCCAATTTGAAAAAAAAATATTTTTTTATTATTATATAATTTTTCCGAATTTTCTTAAGGTTTCCGCTATATAAAACGTTGTAAGCCCTTTGAGGCCGCATTGATTGAAGAAATAATTTTTTTCTAGAGTTTCTCTTCATTGAAATTCTTTGTGAGGATTTTTATCTTTCCTGTAAGTATTCGCCACGTCAAATTCTGTTTGGAACAATGGCTAATTGTCCACTTGAGTTTCTTTTATGTCATAATTGTTATGCTCATGCCTTTATTATTTTTGTTCCTAAGCAATAAAATTCCTTCCACTTCATGCAGCGTTTGATTCATTGTAGTGGCGTCTTGATGAGAACTTTGGCTGATGCTTCACACAATCAACACGGCCTATCAGCTTCATAAATTGCTTTCAATGTTATTGGCTTTTGTATAACTGTTTCTACTACCTTGATAGCGACTTTATATGCAAAATGGCGACTGAAGGTTCACCAATGTGGTGATCTTTAGTTTGTCATGTGGATCATCCAATGATTTTATATTTGTTGATGTTTTGTTGGGTCGAGGTTCGTCAATGTGTAGCTGCATGGAAAGGGAAGGGAGTCGAGACAGAACTCCCAACATTATTGCTGGAGATTTTGGACTGCAGATGAAGATGAAATCGATTGTAAATGTCGAAAAGTGAGACATGCTTTTGTTGAGCTGCTTTCTTCTTTATTTTCTTCCACATTATGGTCACAAAATTGTCTGGAATTTGTTTAGCAGTTTTGTCAGAAGAAAAAATGTCTCCTGACTGAATCATTTGCTTAGAAAGGGATAGCACAGAAGACTCTTTGTCCCCATCTCCTAATAATTAGGCTTTAATCCACAAAAAAGCAGAGATAAAGTGACTTAAAGTTTGTTTGTTCGTGTTTTCATGTTATTGTCTCTCAATTGGTTGGCAGATTTGATGTGGAGTATTGTTGTCATTTTGCTCAAAAGTTAATTATGATACTAATGTAATCTACTATATATGATCCCGAACCAAGCTCAGGACTCCTCTCAAGCCCAGACTACTGGTCCTACTTCGTTTCATTCATGCTCCACATTAAAATTTTAGGTAAATGGAATGTTACTTATTTTCTTGGTTTGATATTGCCTAGAATGGTAAGACGGGCACTTTTCTTAGGTTAATTTCTTCTTCTTGATGTACTCTTGAGAACGAGGTGAGGTAGGCGGAGACCTATAACTTAGATGATTAGAACACATGACTACAAATCATGGTGTTAGGGGTTCGAATCCTTCTTTGTTCACAACTAGACCCAAGGTGAAGTATCTTTTCCATGCGGTAGGAAAAATCAAGATCGAGATAAAGGACTCAAAGTTATTTTTTACTAAAAATATGTAGTACTATAGCATAAGTGACAATTTACATTTTGGAGTGACATATTTATTAATCTTAACAGACCAAGATGCCGTTGAGTGTCACTCAAACGTTTCCATTTCAAAATAAATGTGTTGTTGCACTTTTTCTTCAACCAACTAGCACTTTTTAAACATTTAATATTTCTTTAATTTACTTCTGTAATCAAACATATGCTGGATATAGATTCATTTGATGCCACAAGGTTGACGGTTTCAAATTCTTGTATAGAAAAATTTGTTGAGTGCATTTTCAGGGGCGAAAACTTGTAAGTGACATGAGTATTAAACTTTTATTCGTAGTGAATTGACCACGAATATGAAGGGGATGAACTTGTGAATTGTGATGTAAGAACTATCAAAACCGAAAAAAGAAAATGAAACTGGCCAAGTTGACTAACGTGTTAATAATATTGAAGACTCCCTCAAAACAATAGTGAATGGCTCATCGTCTCTAAATCTAGCGCGTAGAATTAGAGAGTTAAAAAAAGAAGGAAAAAACTAGTGTCAATAGCTCAAAAGAATCGACTTTTAAACATGATTATACCAAAATCCCTCTTTTTCAAATAAAAAATCTCTCATAATTTTGGGACAATTTTGATGGACGATGTTGATTTGTGTCCATCTCACCATGATTATGATACATAGATAGTCATTACTTTTTCATTTAGATCGAATGACTCAACTGAAATGAAAATATTTACTTTAGATAAGGGAATTATAAGAGGTTAATGTTTACAAAGAGTAAGTGAATAATCTCTATTCCTTCTTGTTTTTATTTTTTTCCAAACCTATAAAATGGAACAAATAGAAGTGGAAACAAGTAAAATTAGTACTAAAGGAGAAACAAAAAGTAACCTTCCTTTTTCTTCTGTCCACATTGAAAAATACTTCAAGACCAATTAATTAGTTCGAGAAAATTACACCCATAGTCCAATTTTGTCCTTACACGAGCAAATGAATCCCTACTTAAATGTGTCTATCACGACATTTTGAGTCGATATTAACATATTTTCATGGACTTCTATACTCAAATTAGGGGTGAGAATGGGCTAGACCGAGCCACCCACGAGCCGATTTGTGGACCTCACAAGCCGAACCCCTCTTGGTTACTAAAAAAATATAAGTTCAATTTGATCCATGGTTCATCTTAAAATGAGTCCAAGTTGTTCATGCATCGAGTCGGGACGGGACGAGCCGAGCCCATGAGCCAACAAGCAACTCAGCCCATTTATCTCCCTAACTCGAATATATGACAAGTTGGCTTATCATACGATAATATGTAGTTCTGATTGTATTATAATTTAATATTATATATTAAATATACACATTCAAAAAAAAATGTTAAAAAGTCGCACCAATTGTGTCATTTAGAAGCAATGAACAAGTCCCATGTTGTTTATCCTTGGTTAATTAGTTTAAACAAAAAAATCATTCGTACATGGGAGTTTCACATGGTAGTTTTAGGGGTAGAGAGATGACATTTGTATGATGGAAAAAAAATGTATAAAAATTGACCAATGTAATGTTGACATTTGGCATCTAATAAAAGAATCTGTAAAACTCCTCGTACTTATTTCATTGTTCTAGTTTAATTTGTTTTAAATGAAGAAAGAAAACCAAGGGGACCATTATTTGTTTAATTCAAAGAAATACAACCGACACTCACTCCAAGTCATTGTCATATACACTGGATTGGACTGACCAAAGACTTAATCAGGAAAAGAAAAGTAAAAAATGCACTGTTGGTCTCCAACTTATACACTACTGCAATTTTGACCTCAACATTTTTATGTTGTAGCGTGGTCCTTATTTTATATGAAATAATTCAAAATCGATTAGAATGGCTAACATGCCGATCGTCATAATGCACATGTTAGGAGACTCTTCACTAGGATTTGAATATGTCTAAATTGTCTTGAGCTGCATTATTCCTCCATGACAACAATAATTTGTGTTTGATTTTGCCAAGAAGTGATAAAGTCATTTCTTTCTGAAAAGGTGTTAGAAGATTATAAGTTGTTGACGAACTAAATGCATGTGACATTTTCGTGATGTATTGCCACTTACCGATTCTCTGAGTGTTGCAAAAGAACAAATTTTCGCTCATACTGTAATGGTGTTGCTCCATTGTACTACTTTCGCCTTCTTTCAATAAGCCTCAACATGCCATATTTCACAAATGAAGCTTATTGGCATGAACACCTAAACGCTTCCTTGCATTGTACTTCGTGCATGGGTGCTCGGCTATTTGCAATCACAATGCACATCATCATCAATGCCCCAAACTTAGATGAATTCGACTTAGAGCATGATTGGCTTTGCTTAAATTTTAATATAAGTTGATCAAGCATATCTTTTATCCACATATTTCAAAAGATCTACTTATTATCTACAATTTTTGTAGGATTTATTCCTGATAAGTACATAAAAATAATACCAAACAAGCACTTAGCTAGCTTGCCTGATGCTTGTACATAACATATGGTCCATTTGAAGCATGCATGGCCGAAAGAAGCTATTTTAGCTTCATCTCACACATTAAGGTCATTATGCCCCACAAAGCAATACTCATGCTTGTCACTTAAATATTTTAGCTCATTGCATGTTGCTCTTTCCTCATTTGCTCAATTATGCGACCTCACCTTATGAACACAATTTAGCCAATGAAACCCCGTGGAAAGGCTAGAACCCATAGCCAATGCACATGAGTTAGCAGACGAGGCAATTGGAGTGCTTTTCTTGACATAAACTCATTTGATCTAGAGGTATTTCAATATTTTTATTTTTCATCCTCGGAGCATAACAATACTCATTATATAACTTCTGGGCCAACACTACCTAATAGGGCCTTGACCCTACACTGATACTTTAGCCATCCCATGATGTGCCTAAAATAGGTCCCTAGGCGCCCCATGGCTCCCAAGGATTGCACATTTTGTGCATAAGGATAGTCCATAGGTTGTCTCTCTGTAGGGACAAAAGCACGTAAAGGACTCGTCTGGCCACTCACCAGACGGCAACTTTTACTTAAGTGACATGAGTAGATTTCTTTTTCTCAGTAATCATAATTTAATTCATATTTTTTCTCCCATCATCCCTAATGGTTACAAATGTTAGCTTCAAGCTAAGTTGCAATCCGTGACATGTGTTAATAGTATAGTCAATCAAATCATATTTATATTTTCCACAATCTACTTCTTTCCTTTGTGATTTCTATTAATCTTGTACAACTTAGGTTTCCTTCTTTAGCTCACAAATTTTCTACCGTATATAGTTAGTTTCCATGTATAGTTAGTTACCCTGAATAGCTTTATATTGCTGTAATTACTAATTACTATACGGTTTACTATTTAATGGAATACTCACAGAGATGAGAAGTATTCAATCATTTTGACATAGTATCAGAGCTCCTGTTTTGATTTAGTCATCCGTGCTTCCTTCTTTCAGTTATCAGTCCAAGAGCTCTCAATGTTCTAAGTTTTTTTTTTGTCTTGGTGAAGTTCTCTAGCTTCTGGTGTATTTTTACTCTATCACTATGTCTACAAAAACCTTTTATGTTCGCTTCACAGAGAAGAACTACTCTACTTGGGAATTTCAATTCAGGATGTTCCTTAAAGGCAAAGAACTTTGGGATCATATTGATGGGTCTTCCAAAGCATCAACTGATGCTAAGCGACTTGCTTAATAAGAGATCAAGTATTCTCGGATAATTTCTTGGATGTTGGGATTAATCAAACCACATATGGTTAATAATATGTAGTCCTTTTATATCGCTAAGGAAATGTGGGATTATTTGAAGCACATCTACAACTAAGATAACAATGCTAGGCGGTTTCAATTGGAACGTGATGTGTTTGTGTCACCTGGACTCTCTATAGTTTAATTTCATTTGGTCAATTAGTTGATAACAATTGTAAAGTGCATTTTTCTCGTGTTGGTTGTCAGGTCTAGGATCAAGTGTTCGGAACGGTGATCGTGAAGGGGCCTAAAGTTGGAAGATTGTTTCCTCTGCACTTTACTTTTAATAGTCTAATGTCTTTGGCTTGTAATGCAGTAGCAAATAAATGTGAGGTTTGGTACAAACGTTTAGGACATCCTAATTATCTTGTTTCGTCTAATTTCTTAGGCAATAAAGATTAGCTTTCCTCTCACATTGTGTCTTTTGACTGTACTACTGCTAAACTCAAAAAAAAGTCAAACACTACCTTTTTCTAATCTTGGTAGTCATGCTACATTATGTTTTGATATTATCCATAGTGATGTTTGGGGCATACTTTTATATTATCTCATGCCAGCTATAAATATTTTGTGACGTTCATTGATGACTATAGTCATTACACTTGGGTGTATTTTCTTCAATCAAAATCCGAAGTATTTTCTATTTTCAAAACCTTTGTAGCTTATGTTGAAACTCAGTTCTCAACATCTATTAAAGTGCTAAGGTCAGATTCCGATCGTGAATATAAGTCCCATGATTTCCATACCTTTTTGAATAAAAAAGGTATTCTTTCTTAGCGTTCATGTCCTTATATACCTCAGAAAAATGGGTTTGCAGAACTAAAACATCGCCATTTATTGGATGTTATTCGTCCCTTATTGCTTGAATCTTCTGTTCCTCATAAATTTTGGGTTGAAGCTTTATCTACTGTAGATTAATTGACTTCCTTCACATTGTATCTTTTGACTGTACTATTGCTAAACTCAAAAAAAGTCAAACACTACCTTCTTCTATTCTTGGTAGTCATGCTACATTATGTTTTCATATTATCCATAGTGATATTTGGGGGCATTACTCTTGTATTATCTCATGTCAGCTATAAATATTTTGTGACGTTCATTGATGACTATAGTCATTACACTTGGGTGTATTTTCTTCAATCAAAATCCGAAGTATTTTCTATTTTCAAAACCTTTGTAGCTTATGTTGAAACTCAGTTCTCAACATCTATTAAAGTGCTAAGGTCAGATTCCGATCGTGAATATAAGTCCCATGATTTCCATACCTTTTTGAATAAAAAAGGTATTCTTTCTTAGCGTTCATGTCCTTATATACCTCAGAAAAATGGGTTTGCAGAACTAAAACATCGCCATTTGTTGGATGTTGTTTGTACCTTATTGCTTGAATCTTCTGTTCTTCATAAATTTTGGGTTGAAGCTTTGTCTACTATAGATTAATTGACTTCCTTCCCAGATTTTGGACTTTGATTCTCCATATTCTCACCTCTACGGTAAGCCTCCTAGTTATACATAACTTTATACATTTGGATGTGCTTGTTTTGTTCACTTACCTCATCTTGAACGTCACAAGTTTGCTGTCTAATCTGTTCAATGTACCTTTTTGGTTTATAGTCTTGCTCAAAAGGGCTTTATGTCTTATTATGATGCAGTTAATCTTTTTCGTGTTTCTCGAAATGTAGTGTTTTTTGAAAATCAGTATTTCTTAAAAACCCATGTTGCCTTCCACTAATCCCTCGACTGAGCCTGCACCTATATCACTACAACACCTCAGAGATTTACTCGACCCTCTTGTCCACCCAATAGGTATGAGTTTCTTCTCAATGCAACTTTGTCTAGCATTAAGATTCCTACTTGTTACTCTGAGGTCGTTAAGCAGGAATGTTGAGCAAAGTCTATGCAAGATGAGCTTTAGGCACTCTATGAGAATCATACTTAGGATATAGTTCTGTGTCCATCTAATGTTAAAACCATTGGGTGTAAATGTGTATATTCTGTGAAGCTATGTCAAGATGGCACTGTGGAAAGATATAAAGCTAGGTTGGTTGTTCTTGGCAATCGATAAGAATATGAAGTTGATTATGATGAAACTTTTGCTTCGATGGCTAAGATGACTACTATGAGAATAGTTCTTTCCATGCTGTTTCTAAAGGCTGGTCCCTCCATTAAATAGACATTAAAAATGCTTTTTTTGCATGGTGATCTCAAGGATGAAGGTTTTATGACACCTCCATTAGGTTTATTCTCTACCCCATCTTGTGATGTATGTAGGCTGAAGCCACCTCTTTATGGTTTAAAGTAAGCTCCTTGAGCTTAGTTTGATAAGTTCCGCTCCACATTACTTGTCCAAAGTCAGTATGACTCTTCCTTGTTCTTACGCAAGACTTCAATTGGTATCATTCTTCTTCTAGTTTATGTCAATGATATTGTCATTATTGGGACAATTCTAATCTGATTCAACATCTTCAACATCACCTACAGGCTTCATTTCACATGAAAGATCTTGGCTATCTTAAATATTTCTTAGGTCTTGAAGTGAAATTTGATCCAATTGGTATTTTTTAAAATCAACTTACTTTAGTTGGACTTCAAGCTACTTCTTCTGTTGACACCCCTTTAGAGGTCAATGTGAAGTATTGACGTGACGAGGGTGAGCTTCTTAATGACCTATTGTTATACTGATAATTGGTTGGGAGTCTAAACTATTTGACCATTACTCGGCTTGATATTTCCTTCGCTATTCAGTAAGTCAGTCAATATATGCAAACTCCTCAGTGCCTCCATTTGGCTACTGGTCGCAGAATTATTCGCTATTTGAGCGTTACATCATATTGTGGTTTATTCTTTCCTACTGGCTCTTCTCTACGAATGAGTGCATATAGTGATGCTGTTTGAGTTGATTGCCAAGATACTTGTCGCTCAATTATGGGATGGTGCATGTTCTTTGGCAATGCTCTTATTTCTTGGAAAAGTAAGAAACATGTGTCTAAATATTCTACGGACTTTGAATATCGATGTCTTCTGCTTGTTCAGAGATTATTTGGCTTCATAGATTGTTGGCTAAACTTGGGTTCCCTCAAAGTGTGCTCACTTCTCTGCATGCAAATAACACTAGTGCGATTCAGTTCGCTACAAATCCGACCTTTCATGAGCGAGCCAAGCATATTGAGGTGGATTGCCACTGCATTCGTAAGGCATATGACAAATGCGATATCACTCTTCTTCATATCAACACAGATTTTCAAATTGTTGATGTGTTTACAAAAGCTATGGCACGTCAACAACATCAGTTTCTCATTGACAAATTGATGCTGCTTGATTAGTCAACATCAATTTGAGGGGGGTGTTAATAGTATATTCAATCAAATGACATTTATATTTTTCACAACCTACTCATTTCCTTTGTTATTTCTATTAATCTTGTACATCTTAGGTTTCCGTCTTTAGCTCTCAGATTTTCTACTGTATATAGTTAGTTACGTTGAATAACTTTGTATTACTATAATTACTGAACAATTTACTATTTAATGAAATGCTCACAGAGATGAGAAGTATTCAATCATTTCGACAACATGTACTTATGTCGCTTTTGACTAAAAACCAAGGTCGAGAAATAATGATGCACCTAAAAGAAACTGTTTGGGACCAGGCTGAAACGAAACAAACGTTGGGGAAAAAGATGTGACAAAGTGTATAGGGTGGGGACCAAACCGCAATTTTCTCAAATGAAAACGGAGTGGAAACTCGTTCAATTCTACTCTCTCTCTCTCTCTCTCTCTCTCTCTCGACTGAATGGTGGTGGAGGTGGTGGTGGTACCTTGGTTGTTGGAGAGTATAAATGCTTCTTTTCTGTGCTGAAAAAGACCCTACAATAGAGATAATAATGGAGGATATCTCAGCAAACAGACAGAACGGTTTTTCCCTTGTTTGTTATCTTATTACATTTATTAATTCAAGTCATTACTATAATGTCATTTCACTGTGTACTGTGTGTATGCCTGTGACAAAGAAAAGGCCAGAAACGCACTAATCCCATGTGGTGTCTTTGTCATAAGTACTTATGAGCATAAAATAAGCAGCTTATTTTTATTAATCTGGCATTTGGCATCCACACTTCTCTTTCCGTCTAGCCAGGCAATTTTTTCATTTTCTTACTCAATCTCGCATGGCAGCCAGCCCATCAGCATCTTTCTCTCTCTCTCTCTCTCTCTATTCGCAGTCTTCAATTTTCTTGAAACTCTAGAAACATAAAAAATTAGTTCTTTCTGACACTCACCCATATACAAACTTTCCAGAACTAGATTCCAAGAAATTAGCGTAAAATCACAATTTTTTTAGCCATACCCAAAAATGTACTTCAATTTCTTGGCGTTTTCAGCAAGATTGTGCATTCAAAATACTGCCAATTAGCAAGAAGCCCCTTTTCAATGAGAAGAACTTCTGTATTTGCAGAAGCAGAGATCAAGGGTTTGCAGAACTGGATCCAGAAAGTATAATGCTGAGATTATGTTGGAAAAATGAGGTTATTAGGTACAAATTTTTATTGCCTTTTGTTCGTTTATGCATTCTGTTTGTTCGAGTATACAGTATCTGTCGTCTCTCCAATTACTGAAAGGGAGATCTTGCTTCAATTTAAAGGTAACATCTCAAGTGACCCTTATGATAGTTTGAGTTCTTGGGATCCAAGCAGAAGCCCTTGCCAAGATTTTAAAGGGGTATTTTGTAATTCAGATGGAAATGTGGCAAAGATCGTGTTGTGGAATACTAGTCTAGGTGGGGTTTTGTCTCCTGCTTTATCTGGGTTGAAATCTTTGAGGATTATTACTTTATTTGGCAATAAATTCACTGGGAACATCCCATTGGAATATGGAGAAATTGGTACATTGTGGAAGATTAACTTGAGCTCCAACGCATTATCCGGGTCAATCCCGGAATTTCTTGGGGATTTTCCTAACATAAGGTTTCTTGATTTATCAAGAAATGGGTATACTGGGGAGATTCCTTCAGCACTGTTCAAGAATTGTTACCGGACAAAGTTCGTTTCTTTGTCGCATAACAATCTTTCAGGGACGATTCCTATCTCGATCAGTAATTGTATGAATCTTCAAGGGATAGATTTGTCTTTTAACAGCCTTACTGGAAAATTGCCTTCAGAAATTTGTGACATTCCTGCAGTATTGTACTTGTCCGTGAGGAGTAACATGCTGTCAGGAAGTGTTCAAGAACATGTTTCAAAATGTGGAAGGTTAGAACTTTTGGATCTCGCTAGCAATAGGTTTACTGACTCTGGTCCATTTGGGGTCCTCAGGTTGGGTAATCTTACATATTTCAATATTTCATGGAATGAGTTCCAGGGTGTGATTCCAGACATTGGAAATTGCAGTAGCAGACTGGAAGTTTTTGATGTTTCTGGGAATGATTTCAATGGAAACATTCCGCCTGGCATCAGAGAATGCAGTCGCCTGAAGTATTTAGATTTGGGGTTTAACAGGCTTGATGGAACTATACCAGTTGGAATTGCCGACTTGAAGGGTCTTGTGTTCATTCGATTAGCAAATAACTCAATAGACGGAACAATTCCTTCGGCATTTGGGAGTATTGAATGGCTTGAAGTCCTGGATTTGCACAATCTCAAACTCAGTGGTGAAATCCCAGTAGAGATAAGCAATTGCCGGTTTCTTCTCGAGCTGTGAGTTCAATAACCATCTCCTGCTTTTTTTGTTCATATCAACATTTTTTACAATTAAACTGATGAAACTATACATGTATTACACAGAGATGTTTCTGGCAATTCTTTAGCAGGAGGCATTCCGCAGAACCTCCAGAACATTACACCCCTTAAAATTCTCGACCTGCATCATAACCAGTTCAATGGAAGCATACCTACAACCATTGGAAATTTGTCTAACCTGCATTCTTTAGATTTGTCCGAAAACTTTCTATCCGGTTCCATCCCTTTGACAATTGGGAATTTGAAAAATTTAACTCATTTCAACATTTCTTACAACAACCTTTCTGGTGCTATCCCATCTATTCCTACCATCCAGCAGTTTGGATTTTCGGCCTTTTTTCATAATCAAGGTCTTTGTGGTGCTCCATTAGAAAACTCTTGTTCTGGCACAGAACAGAAACCAAAGTTGAGAGTTTCTGCAATTGTTGCTATAGTCGCTGCTGCTTTGATTGTTACGGGTGTTTGTGTGATAACCATCATCAACATGAAGGCTCAGGGGAGAAGAAGAGAGGACGAGACCATGATTGTAGAAAGCACCCCATTAGCTTCAACACAATCTGATGTCATCATTGGAAAATTAGTCCTCTTCAGTAAAAGTTTGCCCTCAAAGTACGAGGACTGGGAAACTGGCACCAAAGCGTTGCTTGACAAGGAATGCCTAATTGGTGGAGGTTCTATTGGAACAGTGTACAAAACTACCTTTGAGGGCGGAATATCAATTGCTGTGAAGAAACTTGAGACTCTGGGAAGAATCAGGAACCAAGACGAGTTCGAGCATGAAATTGGACACTTGGCGAATCTTCAACACCCCAATCTTGTTGCTTTTCAAGGTTATTATTGGTCATCTAGTATGCAGTTAATTTTATCTGAATTTGTCTCGAATGGAAACCTGTATGATAATTTGCATGGAGTTAATTATCCTGGGACCAGCACTGGTGTTGGTAATTCAGAACTGAATTGGTCAAGAAGGTTTCAGATAGCATTAGGGACCGCCAGAGCACTAGCATACCTTCACCATGACTGCAAGCCTCGGGTTCTTCATCTCAATGTCAAGTCTACTAATATACTACTGGATGAAAACTTGATGCGCTTTGATAGTCTAATACCTTTGGGGAAGTTGCTTCCCTTGCTAGACAATTACGGTTTGACAAACATCCACAGTGCAGTTGGATATATTGCACCTGAGTTGGCACAAAGTTCAAGGATCAGCGAAAAATGTGACGTTTATAGTCTTGGGGTTATTCTGCTGGAGTTGGTTACAGGGAGGAAGCCAGTGGAAAGTCCCTCAACAAATGAGGTGGTGATTTTGTGTGAATACGTTAGAAGTTTGGTCGAGAGGGGTTCTGCTTTGAATTGTTTTGACAGAAGATTGAGAGGATTTTCCGAAAATGAGCTTATTCAGGTCATGAAGTTGGGGTTGATATGCACTTCTGAAGTTCCTTCAAGAAGACCAAGCATGGCAGAGGTTGTTCAGATTCTTGAATCCATAAGAAATGGTTATAACTATTGATTGCAAGATTTTAGTTTTTTGGTACAAAGTAACATAATATTCTTTCATATTTATTCCGGATTAGAATAATCAATTTGTTCTTATGATTGCAATAAAATTATTCCATTTTTTGCAACTTCAAGAAATATTTACTCTAACCTACATTCCGAAAGAAAAGAATTCTTTCAGATTGTGTTCTTGTTTCGATCCTTGATGCTTGCTTATGCTCAGAGAATTAAAAACAGGGATCCTTCAGGCAGGAGAAAGATGTTACAATGACAAATTTTCGTAGTAGTGAATTCTCTATAGTAACTAATATTTCAGGAATTGAACCGGACTGGCCACTTTTCACAAAAGGAAATCGAAAATTGGCTTCAAAATCGGTTTAAATAATTCGACTTTGAGATGTAATATGCTATGTTATTATTTTCGACCGCTCATTCGACTTCAGTTTAACCCTTTGAAACTCTGACTCTTTACTTTTTTCCTGTAAGATCCCCAGACTTTCAAGTAATTCTGCAAAAGAAAACGGAACTGAATTTTCTTAAATATCACTTTCTGCTCATTCTTTTCACCAGTTGTGAATGGTCCATCCACAATCACAAGACCCCAAGGCAGGTAGGTTCCTTGAATATGTTAACATGATTCAACAGAACATGTAGGAGGATAAAGAGGGTAGCCCTTCATCTTTTTCTCAGTGCTTCTTTCATTTCTTGTCACCCTTAATCAAATCTTGCGTCTTAGACGTTAAATTGTTTGTTGTGCACAAAATAGCAGTGGCATCGAATATTGCGACTGGTAAAGTACCGATGTTCTAATGATTGTACATGTGGGCTAGAAAAATATATTCATGAAAACATTGTAATATTACGAAGGAAGTAATTGCATTTTTTAGTTTATTCCTGCAGATTATAGATAGAGCCAAATGTATATCATTTAAAAATTATCTTTAACATGTAGGCGGGATTTATTTTTTCCATCAAAACCTAACATGTACACAACTAATTAAATAGGTGGCGACGAGACATAATCCGAGGACTTTTACCTGCTTTGATACCATGTTAACGTTTTACATAAAGTAGTTCAATCGAATATTCCTCTCATACCTATTACTGATCATTGTCAAAACGAATACTATTTAACTTTATTATCTTTTAATATTGGGGGATTCTAATGATATATTATATGAGTTGCTGTCAATAGAATAATACTATCATACCTATTACTGATCATTGTCTAAACGAATACTATTTAACTTTATTATCTTTTATTATTGGTGGATTATAATGATATATTATATGAGTTGCTGCTTTTATTATAAACTTCATAGCACGTCTTCTATCTTCATTTCTCCCCATCACTATCCTTATTGCTGAATTATTGTAGGTCCAAGATCCAATTTCAAACCAATTTTAGAAGTATGAAGACAAGATTTCAAAGAAACTCAAGACAGAAAAATAAAAACACAGAATTTTTTCAGCCAAAGGCCTCGGAGGTTTAGCGACCGCTTCTAACGCTTAGTCCCCCATTGAGCATCCGTAATGATTAAGCTCGAATCCACTATACCAACCAAAAAAGGGCTAAGTTACAACCACAAGAGCACAGAGTTTTCAAACTAACAATACAACACAAGTCTCTCACTCAATAAACTCACACAAGAGTTTTCTCTCTTTTATCTTTCAAAATCACACAGAGTATTTCAGAGGAAAAAACCGAAGAAAGAGCATAGAAGATGAATAGCCCGCAGCCAAAAACCCTCACAAAATGAATCATTCAACACCTAAAAAATTACAGAGTCTATTTATAAAAGATCACAGATCCAACGGTAGTAAACATGCCACATGTCATCAATCCAGGAGGTCCACTTAAAAACTGAAAATGTGTTTTGTTACAACAGCCTTCCCGATTCTTCTTCACGGGTCATCCATTTGGGGCTGAGGTAATGGGCCAGCTGCATACGGTTTTTGGGCGTATTTGTGCCAGTATAGAAATGGATTCCAGCTTAATCTCTTAAGCATCATTTGCTCTCATTACTTGTTCACAAAGAATAGAAGTTAGCAATTTTCGAGATTCAACAATCTCAAGCAATCTAAAAATTTTACAAGTGGTATTACCTTTGTTCCTGCATGAGCAGGATTTACCTTAGTGCATATTTTAACTCATGTAATGTCACCTTTATCAATTATATCTCTAATAAAGTGAAACTTAACATCAACGTCCTTTGATCTATCATGAAAAATTGGGGTTTTCTTAAGAAAATTGCACTTTGATTGTTGAACATAGCTCCACTTGATTTTCTACAATATCTAATTCATTTAACAAGCCTTTCAACCACAGTCTTCTTTTACAGCCTCAGTGCAGCAATGTATTCTGCCTTTGTGGAAGATAAAGCAACTAATTTTCTAAGTTGAGATTTCCAGCTAATGCGCAGTCATAGATTTTCTATTATCCAGAATACCAGTAAAGTTAGAATCAACATAGCTTTTTAGTTTAAAACCATCCTTATTTGTTTTAAACATAAGTTCTAAACCACATGTTCCTTTTAAGTATTTAATCAGATTTTTCATGCATTCACAATGAAACTCACTTGGATTGCTCATAAATCTACTCAAAACACTTATAGTATAAGTTATGTCAGGTCCAGAACAGACCATCACATACATAACAAATCAAACTGCATCAGCATAAGGCACATTCAACATTCTTTTAAATTCATCTTCTGTCTTAGGAGATTGATCAGCATATAACTTCATGCATCCAGATAACGGCAAACTAACAGGTTTAGAATTTTCAAGGGAAAACCTTTTTACCACTTTTTCAATATAAGATTTCCGACTCAAGAACAATTTTACATTTATTCTGTCCCTGATTATTTCCATGCCCAATATTGTTACACCCCATTCATTTATAGTCAAAAGTCAAGAATCTCAACCGTCAAAGTCAGCCAAATAAGGACTTAGTTGAATAAATGGTTTAATTTGTAATTATTAATGATATATTATATGAGTTGCTGCTTTTATTATAAACTTCATAGCACGTCTTCTATCTTCATTTCTCCCCATCACTATCCTTATTGCTGAATTATTGTAGGTCCAAGATCCAATTTCAAACCAATTTTAGAAGTATGAAGACAAGATTTCAAAGAAACTCAAGACAGAAAAATAAAAACACAGAAT